TGAATGTAAATGCAAACGAAAATTTCGAAATTTTAAACGAAAATGCTGTTGCAGAAAATGAGATCAACGAAGATGGTGAAAAGCAAAATATTGAACGAGAGAAAAACGAAAATCTTGATAGACTACTTGGAGAAGTTAAAAACACCACATCCACTAAGCTGGATCCTACGTGTGAGGCAAAGCTCTACACACATGACTCTAACGAAATAACTGAAGACGGTGTCCAATCGCACCAAAAGCTTGACAATTCTCAAGAGAATAACGATAAGGAAAATAATTCTAGTGAAAGTCAGGAAAGTATTTATGTCGAAACTGAAAAGAGGGACAATGCTGAAATCAATATCAGCAAATTATCAGATGACTTGAAAGAAAGCCTGAAGACAACTCAAAAAGGCATCGCTGATGTTGAAACCGAAGACGAACACATCGCAACAGAGATTACGCCAGTTGAAGGAGATACACCGTCGCTATCTATAGTTTTGAATGAGAACCTTACGGCTACCGAGCCCGTCGAAGCATTAGAAAATGCTCCACTGGAAGAACTTATACACTTCGAGGAGAGCCAGTCTTTGCTTAACGAGCAAACCGACACAACTGTTGAGCCCGAAGCTGTAAAGAGTGCGCATATTGTGATCAAAAAGCCAGGTGTAGAATTAGAGGTAGATCAAATTGAACCCCTACATATCGAGGTACAGGAAGAAGCCACCATCACAGCAGACATAGAGCAGGGAAAAGCGGAGGCAAACGAAAACTATGTTGAAGAGAAAACCGCTGGAACGACTTTAAATCCGCTTGTAGAAGATGATGGTATTGAAAAATTACAAGGCATACAAAGCGAGGAGAGCACCAACAAAGAAACTGCGGCTCAATTGGAACTTAAAATGGAAAAAGAAGCCCTCTACGAGCCCCTAGTGAATAATGAGATACGGGACATAGAAATCAATGCAGAAAACAACTCCGAAAATGACAAACCCAGCGAAGCTGAATATAAAATTGACACAGCTCAAAATGAACTTAGCGACCCAGTGCAGCAAAAGATTGATGATATTACTGATGCAACAACAAACAATGAACTCCACGCACAATTTGAGGAGAAAGCAGATGATCTTAAGGAAAACCAATACCTTATCCAAGCCAGCAATGAGCTAGAGCATCTTGAGGTTCAATCAACCACAGCTCAGACGCATGCTGTTGCAAGTGAACTCACAGTTCAAGAGCCAGTGACAGAGGACAGCAGCGTGGAGTCGAAAAGCCTTGCCTCGACAACAACAGCACAGTTGGAGCAATTAC